AGAGGATGCACTAGAGGAAACATATACGATAGAGGGAACGGATACAATCCTTTCTGGTTACACATAAATACCTAAAAATATGGTTCCAATTTCTTCCTTTAAAAAAAAAAAAAGCCCTGCTCATTTTCTTTCAAATTACTTCCAAAAACGAAGGTCTCTGATGTTAATCGTGTGTACACTTCAGCTTACACTTTAAAGAGTCTTCCTCTCCTGGGAAGTGACTTTTGTATACAAATCATGGAAAGCTACTTAGACAAAGTGCTGGAGATGATTAAAAGGGGCCAGATCCACATTTATACCTTAGAGGAGAGCAGAAGCAGATGTCAACTGACTCATTTGTGTACATTTTGGAAAGGAGCTGAAGATAAGCATGTGCATTTCATCAGGACATTTGAAGAATTCGCGACTTTTTGTTGTGGTCATGTATTTACGGCAACTTTAGAAATTAAAAAAAGAACTTCAACTACATTCTGGTGTTCTGTGCCGGATACCTTGACTTCTATTACAATTTGATCTCAAACAACTTTTTCATCTGAAAGAAAGATATATGCTCATTTAGAAAGGACAGAATTTTTAGAATTGAAGTGCGTCATTATATCCTTCACCGGCTAAGATTAGTAAAACGAGGACCCAAAGTAGCATTTTGTTCATTTAATATTTGAACAAAAACAAGCTTCAATTCCTTCAAACTCCCCCCGCCCCCTTTAGCACCACAGCTGGGGGAAAACTGCACGTTCTCTTTGATCCATCCACCAAGCCTTTATTGAGAAGTCACTCCCCATCAGGCTCAATAGCGAGCATCTTGCTAGGTCCCAGCAGCACAGTGAGGATGAGAACAGTACAGGTCAGGCCCCGTGAGGGCGCTCAAAAGTCTTCTCAGGAGTGATCCCTGGGTTAGATCTGAAATGGGGAGAGAGTGGAAGCAAGGGGGTGTGACCTGCTGGAACCCTGTGCTCTGTCGCTGCTTCCATGTCAAGCAGGAGCCTTCCTTCTTGAAGGAATTAACATCTTACCACTTCACTACTATGAGTCTTTCCTCTGAAACAGGGAATCTGTTTTGGTTGGTGGCCAAAAGACATTGGGTAGGAACATTGATGCAGAAATTCATGCATGTATGCAGAAATCCCAGATTGCTTAGCTTGTTTCATTAGGCAATGATGTGTCTTCTAGGAAATTCCAGAGAATCATGGCTATACTAACATACCACACTTTCTGTAAGTCATCAACAAACAACCCTAAATAAGTCATGTACTTAAATACATACGATTTCTCTAGCGTATTTCTCTGTAGCACTGGGTCACACCGACAGATTTTTACAATAAACCCTATTCCTAGAGTTATTGTGACCATGTTTCCTGTTCAATGATGTAAACATGTCAAAGCATCTCCCCCAGTATTCGGTTACACTGCAGGACTAATCACATCCCTGCTATGCATGGTGAAGTACAGTTCATAAGCACAACCAAAAAAAAAAACACCCCAAAAACCAGTAAGTCTATGACAGAGTGGTATACAAGCTGTCTGACACCAGCAACCCAGCAGAGAGTGAAGCCCTAAAAGTAATCAACAGTCACTCTGAATTAAAAGATGTAGGGCTGTTTGTATTAAATTCCTCTGCAGTGACAGAAAATCCCCACCAGGTGGGGGTAAAAGATCCAAGCTTTCCTTCCAACTTCTGGGTTTCTTGACCTCCCAACTATTTCACCTCTGTCCTGATTTCGAAGGACACTTGATTACTTATCTTCTCAAAACGACTAATTACTTATTTCTTTTAAAGCAAGTAATAAGAATGGAAAAAATAGCTTAACAAGTTTTTAGGAAAATCAGCTCATTCGAGACAAATTCAGAGTTCATTGTAAACAAAATGAAAATCAATGAACTAAGTCATTCTGAGACTAAAATCTCCAGGAGTTAAGGTGTCATCATCTGAACTGTGAGATCAACAGACCTTCCGAAAACCTTCCTATTGAAATTCTACCGAGTTGGCCTATTCATAGTTACAAAGCTCCCAATTCTAGTGCCACTTAAATTCTTGAAGAGCAACTTTTAGGCACAACATAATCACTGTTGGTAGACATACCTTAATCTGTTTCCACACCCACAGAACACTTGTTCTTGTCTCTGAAATCCTGGGGAACGCTGGGCCAAGCCTAAGCCTGTGCCATCTGCGAACTATGCCAGGCTCTGGACCTGTGCCTGGGGATTGTAAACCTCCTGAGGGCACTCTATCCATCATGGACAGCTACAGCAGGGCTATTCAGGCAGCACAGACTTCGCATCCACTAAATACCACTTTAGGATGTACAAATATGATCTGGAAGCTTCCTTTTCCCCAACAGCTTGGATTAGAACTTACAAGGAACATAAACAAGGCAGACTCGAATGAACAAATTAACTCAGCAAAAACCGAGCCAGATCAGGTAAAACGAAAGGACGCCCAGGTGACCCAGGTGTTTGCCACAGAAGCCGATCCTAAGACAAACATTAACTAGACAAGGCCGAGCAGACGGGGTGGGAGGGGAAGGGAGCGGCGGGGCAGCTGTCTGTGCCAGCAGGGTGAGCAAACGAGCCTGTACGGAAGGAAAGGGCAGTCAGACCCTGCCTCCCTGGCCCACTAAGGCTCCTGCCAGCCTCCTTGCTGGAATGGGTGCCAGGCCCTACTAATCCCCGTCACCACACATTTACAGGAAATATCCAGAACAGGTCAATCCAGAAAAGAGGCGAGTGGCAGCCAAAACGTGCTGGGAGAGAGGAGAGAGCGACTATTTATGGGTCCAGGGTGTTCACGTGGGACGATGAAAATGTCCCAGAACTGGATGGTGGTGATGGTTGGACAATACTGTGGATGTAGTATTATATTAAATGCCACAGCACATTTTAAAATGGTTAAAGTGATAAATTTTGTGTTATGTGTATTTTATAATAAAAAAAAGGTACTGTGAATCCAATAAACTTTTTTTAAAAGTATGTTACTAATTTCTAAAATGTAACTTGGAAAATAGGAGGTATGGACACTGAAAAACACAATCACACATACGTATATGAACACTGATTCTCCCCAGACAAAGTGTGGAGTGAGCATAGGTTCTCAGAACTTCTGTGCACCACTAGCTAATAATAATGACAATAATGGCCAGCAGTTATTAAATGGGACACTGCTCTAAGTTCTCACATTTAGTCCTGTGAGGTAATTAGCCCCATTATACACAGCTAGAACAGGCACGCAGGTAGCACAATCTCAGAATTTGAATCTGAAGCCCATCTAGTTTCAGAATGTATATTCTTAGTCACAGCTCCATGGACTCCCAATGCAGACCCTCCTCATTTGGCCCATCCATCCTCTCTCTCACTGTTCACCCACAGAGAGCCACCTGCTCAGCCTTTGCATGCGCAGTGCCTCCCCCTGAAGCTCCCTCTCCAGTGCTGCTGTCATGTGTCTGAGGCCAGCGCTGCCTTCCTTTCTCTCTGAAGGTTAAGCTGAGGGAGGAATGGGACTGACGGCTCTACGGCTCTTCATAATCCGCCTTCACTGTTCTTCCAAGTCCCGCGGGTGCCTATAAACACTGACTGAGAGCAGTTTAGCCTGAGAACAAGGACAAAGAACTACTCAGCAAAACCAGAGTGGCCTTGTGCTCTGCTGAAGAACATGGAATGCAAATCTGTGAGCCACACTATCAGACCATTGGGTTTGGCCAGCACAACTTTTCAAACTGACAGAATAACCTGAATGACTTCCCTAGGCCACCCAATTCAGGGCCACCTGCTGCTCCGTGTTACCTAGTGACCTGCTGCACCAGGCCTGTGAGCTGTCCCAACCTCGCCACTCACTGACTCACTCCTTACTCACTCCCAGTGACTGCTCTTCCTATCACCCGGAAATCATGGCTGCAAATGATACTAAGAATAATAAAAGGGCAAAACAGACACTGTTTTCAACGGAGCATGCATTTTACTTCTGAGGATAAAAAAAGCCTTCTGTCATTTCAAAGGCAGAAATAGCCCTGAAATTGAAATAACTTCAAATCACAGTACAACTAAAATATAAAATCTCCCATGACAAAGATCCCACTTCCAATCAAGGGTGGGGGCCCCAGCTGAATAGGACCCAGCCTAGCAGAGGGTCCCAGTGGTTTCTGAGAAAAGGACAGGTCTTTGTGTTAAAAGGTTCACATTTACACTTCACCAGCAATGTGAGACCGTTAGCTGTTGAGTTGCTTCTGTTCAAGCCTATGACAATGCTCAAGTTCAGGGAAGAGCACTGAAAATGAAATGAAATGCTAGCTGAAACGCTGCGTTTCATGACAAAATGAGGTGTCACTCTTATGTCAAAGCTTTAGCTCTCTCCCGACTAGCAAGAAGGTTGTCTGAACGTGTAAAAAATCCACAGCTGGTCACTGCAACACTGCATGAAGTATAGTATATGTAGTTAGTTAATACTGCAAATGTGGGGGGAAAAATACAAGGGCCTTAATTTGGAGGGGAGAGTTGTACAGGGGGTGGTTGTGAAATAAAGGTTTTAATACTCTTGAGAACAAGTTTTCTTATTAAGTCAAGAGCTTAAAGTGCAAATATTTATATCTAGTAAGAATCAAAATAAAAAGCTACACAACTGTTAAACTGAGGTGTTCTACCATCAACCATTGCTCACCAATGACAAGGTTAGGGTGACCCAAACTACTGAAAATTTGTATGTAAATGGAATGTTTGCTTTTTTAACTTTTTGTAAAATATTGTCACCCCCTCCCCCAACCCCATGAAAACAAACCTCTGTATATCTCAGGTATACTGAGATTTCTTAAAGAGATCACTTATGTAAAGGTGGAATCCACACCAAAAAACCAATCACCTTCTCTCCTACTCTCTGATCTTTCTGATGTACAGTCCAGACCCAAGCTCCAGGCTCATTTCAGTGTAAAAATGAAGGCCATACAAGAAATAAATAATTCTTAGATGTAAGAGGCAACAGGTTAAAATGTCACTGAGTAGTACATAGTACTTACTGCTGGTTCAACTTGACTTCGATCTGCAATATCTATATGGACAATTTCAACAGTTTTCCACGTGTTGGGATCTAAACCGTGTACCTAAAATTACGAAGAGAAATTAAACAAAACAAATGACAGACTACTCTTGCTAGGCAAACTATTATACTTACATATATCATCTTTATCTTGAGTCTCTCAGAGTACATTATAAGGGGGGAAAATCCAAATTGCTATATAATTAAACTAGTCTTTAGGGATGCAGAAATCTTTTATCCCTTGAAACCCCCAAAAAAAGGGGGGGGGGTGTTAGGATGCTGCCAAATTAACAAAAGTCTGTCACAATATTTTCTGATAGTCCTTAGAGATTATTTAGTTAACAAAATGTCCCTGACCCATGTTTAACTCAAACAATACATGACAAAGTCCTTTTAATCTCCAAATTCCAGATAAACATAAAGTGACATTATAATTAAGATTTCAAAAAAGCGGCATTGTATGGTCTGAAACTCTGACTTTGATTATCCTAAAGCTATTCAGTTTCAGTATGATGTGAACAACTCTATACTTCATGTTGTTCCATCCATTTCTGAAACTCCATCTATGAACCAATTAAGAGTTGTTTAAAAACTGCCAAAGATATAGCTCTCCGAAAGCTGAAAGCGGATTAAGTCATACACAGACTAAAAATATCCAATCACCTCATTTCTTTTAGAGAGAAATGTGTACCAACTTGTAAATATCTGGGACTCTTCAACATTATTATAAATTATCCCGAGTACCTTCTCCTTCCTAGGCCCTTTCTCTGACATCAACCCATATCCCAGCAAAGTGGGATGGAGATGAAAATGAAAGCCATCATTTTTGCAATGGAGAGCAGCTCTGGCAAATACAGAATGAAAAGGTAAAAGGAACCTGAAACCGAATGGCTGAAATTGGTTTGGGGTTATCTGTGAGTTTTGTTCTAACTGTGCTTTCCCTGTGTCAGACAAGGAGTTGCTGATAAAAACAGCAACCTCACTGAAGTCCACTCAAGGGAAGGAGAATGATCAGGAAAACCCATTTGTTTCCGGTTGTTTGCTTGCCTCTCTGTAATCTGACAGACCCTGGGGTGGTCGGGTAATAATATAATGCAGGTGTCCTCACTTTGGTGATGACAAAATGGACTGTAGTATTCTCATGCCAATGAAAAGTCCAGAGGTGAAAACTTACATTTTCTAATGTTCCCAAGTCTGGTTTGTGCCATGTTTCGATTTTAATGAAGAAATCATCTTTCATATATTCATTCTGCAAAAAACACAACAGTCAATGACAGTGAGCCCTCCCCAGTATAAGCATCCACGCCTTTGATTCTACAAGCCTGGTCCTCAGGTTATCGATAAAGAACCATTGGCTATCTATTCTTATAGGCTTGTCAAGGCCAACCAAAGGCTACATGCTTTTAAATAATTGAAACAGCCCTACTTCTCATGCAGCATACAGGGCTAATATTAAAGAAGCTGTGAGATTTGGTGAGCAAATCTGGCATTCGCAAGAAGTAGCAGAAGCAAAATAAAGTAACAGGGAGACTTTGAGATAAGGCTGGAGACAGCATGTGGTGGAGAGCAGGATGCTGGGAGAAGCACAAAGGAGGAACCACGCAGCGATGGGCAGTTTTAATAAAAGTTGCAAATAAATGACTATGTAAAGCGAAGTCGAAAGATGAAGACACAGAAAACCATTTTACTCACCGTTACAACTGAGGCATCATGGACAGGGGGGCAATAAAAGGAGAAAAATGTCAGAATATTAATCGGTCAAAACAATCTGTCACAATATTTAATGTTACAAGATCAAACTCCCGAGCATAAGACATTGAGTAGTTTACATCTGCAAAGCACAGTTTCTATACAAGTCACAGAGCAGCATACTTTAGGTGATGGAGTCAATAATCCAAGTTTAAAACTATGGTAGAAAGAATAATGTCGCAAAAGCAAAAACATCATTTCTAATACCAAGTTAGCAAACAACAAAAAACTTTTTCAGAAGGCTGCCATACCCCTCCCCTTTCACGTGGCAATATAAGTAAAATACTGTTAAAGCCACGCCAGGAGACACTTTTGCGTGTGGACGGCCTTTATAGTTTCTGCACAGGCATGTCTCACAGATTCCGCGGGTTCAGTTTCAAACCACAGAGCCGGGGAGGGTACTGCCTTCACTGAATACAGCGAAGCGCAATAAAACGAGGTATGCTTCTTCTCCTTCCTCTCGCTCACCCCTGGAGCCTGGACCTCAAGGTGCTGTCATCTAGGAATGAGCCCAGGCCCCTCACAAATCTCTGGGGGTGCAGCCCAATGCAACCTGTCCTCTGCCCCAGACCCCATAAAAGGCCTTGCCCGGTGGCTCCCTTCTCACAGCTGTCCTCGGGGAATGGCTGCTGGGAACCATGCTTACTTGTTCTACAGTAGGGATACGCATTCCAGGCTTTCTCGTGAAATACCAGGGAGCCCTCGGGAGCAATCAATCTGACGAATCCAGGAACTTTGCTGTGAGGAGAGAAACAGTGGATATGTTTTCAACAGCGCCATCCCTGCCTTGTGGGTGGCTTTCACACTGCTTCAAAGAATGTGGTCATCAGTGGTGATTATGTTCTAAGCTTCATGAGCTCAACAGTTTTCTCCTCGTTCCCAAAGTAATCCAGTGGAAAATGAATGTAAAAACATCAACATAATTATATGTTTAACTGCATGCAGTATTTTTTAAAAATAGAAAGCAATTCTTTCTTATGAGCTTTTATCTATCTCTCTAAGAGTTAGATGAAGCCATTCAACCTGTACATAACACAACTCAGAGGTTCTCTGTGTAAAGACTACACTAAACTGCCTCTTAAGGCAAAACAAAGCAAAACAAAACAAAACAACAACCCCAGAATAGGGGTATCCTTGAGTAAAGAGACTTTTTAAACAGTTTACAGAATAAGCCTAAAAAGTTTATAAAAAATGAAATATAAAAGTATATCCAAGTGTCAAATTTTGTAGGTTTGGAAGATGAATGTCAAGTACGGTCAGAGAAGGGTAAAATATGTAATATAGGATGAGGTTGTGCATATTCCTAAGATAATCAGGAAAGATCCCAAAAGATGAAACAGGCAAAAGATATCCAAACATATTACATATAGAAAATACAACCGGTAAACAAATAAATGGATACATCAGTCTTATCGTCTTCAAAAAATGGAAATGAAATGACCACTTTAAATGATCATTTCATCATAAGAAAGCAGTTTCACATGCTCAGGCTTTTCACACAGTTTGGATTCAAATCGCAGCATCACTACTTGGAAGGTGTATGCAGTATTTTTTAAAAATAGAAAGCAATTCTTTCTTATGAGCTTTTATCTATCTCTCTAAGAGTAATAGAACTCCATTCAACGCATGAAGTTCAGAGAGCCAAACATATAATTATGTTGATGTTTTTACATTCATTTTCCACTGGATTACTTTGGGAACGGTTGAATGGAGTTCTATTACCTACTCTGCAGGGTGGCTGAGAGGATTCAATCAGATATCTTTTTTTTTTTTTTAATATCTTTTATTGATTTTTTTACAGAGAGGAAGGGAAAGAGATAGAGAGCTAGAAACGTCAATGAGAGAGAAACATCGACCAGCTGCCTCTTGCACACCCCCTATCGGGGATATGCCCGTAATCGATGTACATGCCCTTGACCGGAATCGAACTTGGGACCTGTCAGTCCGCAGACCGACGCTCTACCACTGAGCCAAACCGGTTTCGGCTCAATCAGATAATATCTTGCAAGTGTCTCGCATACTGCGCAGGACAAGGAGTGCTCAATAATGGTAGTTACCGCTTTTTAATTACAAGCTGGCATGGCGCTGGGTACTTTCAGGGGCCTTTCTTTACTTAATCCCCTAATGACACTGGGAGGTAAGCACTCATATAACCAACATTTAAGTGGCTAAGTAACTGCATGTCAAAACTATATCCTCTAGGCTGGGGGTGGCCGGGGAGAGGTCAATGACGGAAAAAGGAGAGGTATGTAATACTTTAAACAATAAAGAATTTTTTTTTAAAAAACTGCCTGGTACTGGTACAAACAGATCTATCAATAGTTCATTTGTTCAACTTAGAAAAAGGCAGGGGGGGAAAATGAATAACGACGTAAACATTCTGCCAGCCCGCTCATGCTGCCGCTCTCAGTGGTCGCCCTCCCCCTCTCCCCCAGGACTGGGGGTCTCCCGTAGGGCTGAGGACTGGGCACCCCCACCTTTGTGATGGAGTGATGGTTAATTTGCATATTATCCTTTTATGAGATAGGATGGCAGTACAAGCTCGATTCCAAAGGTGAAAAGCGATTACCTGCAGCCTTACATCCTTAAAAGATAATAATGAAGGAGGGCTCATTCTTTGAACACTTACTCTTTTCAAATCTTGGAAAGACTCATGCAAGGGGGTAAAACTTCAGAAAAATGAAGCTGGGAGAACTGAAAATAATATCACATTAAGAGTCAACCAATATCTAGCAGTTAAATTATTTTTTCCTTTACTTAAAACCCCTTTAAATGTGGGAGAGGTCTAATCAGAATATAATATAATACATTAGAGGCTTGGTGTACAATTTGTGCATGGGTGGGATCCGATTGGGCTGTGTGGACCAGGGAGAGGGGCCACAGGCTGTTGGCAGGCTGGCCCTACCCACAATCAGCATGGAGTGGGGGGAAGGGCAATCGAGGGTGGGGCCAGCCAGGGAAGGGAGGTGGCACTGGCAGTTGGCCAGCTGGCTCCACCCCTGGTCTAACTCCAGGTCAAGAGGACAATTTGCATATTAGCCTTTTACTCGGTAATCCTATATTATATAGGATGTGGGTAATTAAAAAAAAATACAAACTATAAGATCACTAATCTCTCTGAGAGTTTGACAAACAGATCAATGGTTCATTTGGTCAACTTAGAAAAAGGCAGGGGGAAATAGCTGTGTACTAGCTCAGAAACATATTTTGGCACTCTCCTCTTTATTTCTAGAGTGCCCACTATTCTGAAAACCTTGATATTCATCAAAAGTCCTAAAATTTGCTGGCCTAAAAGGAAGAAAATTGGTAGTCAGCCATTAAAGGCCCCAACAGCCAAATATGTAAGAAAGCTTAAATATTTCTTCATTTTACCCCTGAATTGCCCATTATCTTACTTCCAGGATGCTATTTCCACGATATGAATTCTAACAATTCATTTTGTTTTGACTTAGTTAGGCTCAACCAAACTTTTGAGCCAATTTTGTTTCAAATTTACTGACTTTATACATTTAATAGAAGAACATTAACAAGCACATCCCTCCCTCAATGAATCTAAGTAATTGACTAAACTTGGGAAAAAATGCATAAATGGAGTAAATAAAATTAAATTTCAATTCATTTTACAGGAGAGAAATTTTCATTAATGGCAGCTTTAACATCTTCCTAACAAGGCAGTTCAAGCGTGCCACTTATATATAGCATATACATTGTTTTTCCACCTCAGTACCACTAGGGAAGTCACATTAGTAAAATGAAGAAAATTCTGTTTTAGAATGTTACAGAGTCTCAGAAAAGGAACATACATGAACTGAACAAAATGGAGTTAGGCCTTCAAAAACAAATTAGGAAGGACATTCTTCCTCTTGCTCATCCCGAACTAGTCACCAAATGTTCTCTCGTAATAAATCAATACTGATGACAGTGCCTACCTCAATGTAAACATCTCTACATTCCAGCTGTTGAAAGTCAGCCATAGCATCATGCCCAAGAGCACAAAGGTTCTGGGCCCACACGTAGCCTACCCACACCTGAAGGTTATCTAAGAATATTTAACTTTGGGGTAAAATTCAACCAAAGTGCTTTATCAATTGTCTTGAGGAGATATTAAGATCTAATCTAAGCTTGTCTTCAGAGAAGATAATACTAAGAGCTAACCTAAACTCAATGGTTGTGAACCTGTATGCTTTGCAGGGAGAGGACTTTGTCACAGTGGCACCAGAAAAACAAAGGGCTAATATGGCTTAAAGATACATAATAAATAACCATAATGTACACTGAACTCCTGATCCAGGAGCATTCCCTTTTTTTTTTAAATCCTGTTCCTGAGTAACTTGGCTAATCATTTCTTTTTTGTTGTTGTTGTTGTTAATCCTCACCTGAGGATATTTTTTCCAGTGACTTCCAAACAGAGTTGGAAGGGGGAGGGGGGGGGGGGGCGCGAGCGGGAAAGAATGAAGAGAAATAGCCCAGCAAGAGAGACTAGTAGATTGGTTGCCTCCCACATTTGCCCCAAGCAGGGGTACAAGGAACGGAGGAATACAAGCTGAGGATGGTGAGGAAGGCAGGGGGCAGACAGATCACAGGGGCCCATCTTATAGGCCACAGGATTTGCATTTTATTCTTTATATGATGGGAAGCTAATGAAGGGTTTAAGAAAGGGAATGACACAACCTGATCTAAGTTTCCAGATCATTCTGGCTTTGTGTGGAAAATTAAAAGGAGTGGGTAAGAATAAAGAGTGGAAAAAATTAACTCAAAATGGATTAAAGATCTAAATCTAAGAACTAAAACTATCAAATTGTTAGAAGAAACATAAATTTTTGTGACTTTGGAATGGGCAATGACACCAAAAGCATAAATAATAAAAGAAAAATATAGGTAAATTGGACTTCATCAAAACTGTATACTTTATAAGCTTTAAAGGACAACACTCCAAAGAAAGTGAAACAACTCATAACAATAAATAATTTTGCAAATCATATATTTGATAAGAAGCCCCATTTATGTTTCTCTCTCTTCCCTCTCTCTTCTCTCTGAAATCAATAATGATGATAATAATAACAACAATAATAAAAGCAATGTTTTCCCACTGTAGTTGAATTTGTAGATGCATAATCTGGGGAAACAGAGGACCGACAGCATATTTATTGGAAAAAAACAACCACCACATACATGGTGACCCATGCAGTACAAACCCATGTTAAGGGTCACTGTGAACCATAAAGAGGAAACAATGTATTTCAGTAATATTTCTGATATTCTTGTAGAATAGGATCACTCCTGATTTAGAAAACTTTTACCTGTGCAAAATTAAGACTCAGCGCTACATATATACAAAGAAAAAATTACATGTTGATGGCTAATTCTTAACTCAAGAACAAATTACTATATTAGGCTATTTATTAATTTCTTACTTATCCTCATTCAGAAATGATTTTGAATATAAATAATTAAAATTAATCTTTGCATACTCAGGTGACTTAAACTTCCTTTTTTTTAAAAAAAATCTATACTTTGTTGCTTTTATTTATTTAATTACTTATTTTTTTAAATATATTTTTATTGATTTTGTAGAGGAAGGGAAAGAGAGAGGAACATCAAGATGAGAAACATCAAAGAGTTGCCTCCCATATGCACCCTAACCAGGGATCGAACCCATGACCTCAGTATATGCCATGACCAGACCTTTTGGTGCACAGGATGATGCTCAACCAACTGCGCCACACCAGCCAAAGCTAAACCTCTCATTTTCAAATGCACACATAACTTTTACTTCCTGGCAAATTAATTTTTTTGCTTATAAAAATTAGCTCTTAACTTGGACCACGTGAAATTTTAAAACAATTTTCAATAAAACCTCTGCTATTTTAACCTTTGAGGAACAAAGCCATTCCAGAGTGGGCAAAGCTTTATGAATTCTCCATATTACAGGACTGACAGAAGATGGTGAAAGCATAATATTTATGAGACATAAAAAAGAGCAAACCTAATTTTCCCCCAAGAAGGGAGAGAAAACAATCCACATAAGGTCTGGCCAGAGTTCTGATGAGGTCTCGGGAGAACTGCAAGTTTTTCTCTGAAATACCGTCTCAAAAGTTGCAACACATTGTCTTGCCTTGCTTCCAGATTTTTTGCCCAATAAATTTGTCAATTCTCCACCATCCACCATTAAGTGCTTATTAAACAACTTAAGGAAACATACTCAACCTTTATGGTACATGGGGTACAAGTCTAGGAAGCACACCGAGTAGAGTGGAGGTTAGGGAAGAATGTAAGTAGTCAAGGAATGCCTCCACACAAGACAGACCTACGCTGTGTTCAGAAAGCTGAGCAGTTATGAGGTACCCAAATCATTAGAAAAATAGCCTAAGAAGGGGCTGGACCAGACCAGTCTGGAAGACAAAGACTAGCTTACTTAGAGCTAAAGGTCTTTATTCTGGACATCTACTACAACCTAGCCTAAGTAAACATCTTGAGTACCATGTTAAGTTTAACTTTTATTTTACAAGACTTGAGACTTTAAAGACCTAAAAAAATGGGACATGATGAAATCGTGGGTTTGGAAGAATTTCGTTGTCAAGTCCTTTGCAGTCCACTGCAGGAAATGGAAAATATTCTAACATCCCACAGGGCTCTGCAGGAGAGCCAAGTGATTAAGAGGGCAAGTTCTGGAGTCACAATGCCTGCCTGGGTTCATCTCCAAACTCTACCACCCAACAGCAGTGGCACAGGGTCCACTTATACCTTTCTGGATCTCAGTTTCCTCACTGGAAAGGGGTGCTATGGGAAATGAATGAGCTTCCACCGAGAGCACTTACAGTGGCCAGCACACTGTTTAAGAATACACCAAGTACCAAATCCTATGCTTAGAATTACCATGGGCAACTCCCCACTAGTGAAAGGAATTGAAAGATATATGGAAAGAACCTCACTATCCCATAAAACGAATATTATCTAAGAGGGAAGGAAACCAGACATTTGAAATGTCCCTCGAGATGGTCACTAAACTTTGGATTTTTTAATACCCTGCCAAGATTGTTCCTCAATTTTCTGATTGAGATGAAGTATGTAATCTTACAAAAAAAACAACGGTTTTTGCTGAAATAGGAAGGCATACTGGCCAGGGAATAAAGAGACCTTGATTAGAGTGGGTAAAGTAGACCTCACCACTTCCAGTATCTCAAATGTAAAATAAGGTATTGGTGGCCTTAGTCAACTAGCTACCTTACCCATCCAAATCTGCCATCAATTCTATTGATGCTGTACCAGAGCACTCTACAGGTTACCCAATGGGATAAATACTGGAAAAGGGAACATCTATTACTGGACACAGATTTAACTTCCTTAGGGAGAGAGCTCTAAGGCTCTAGGAACTTTGGGTACGCCTTCAGCATGCTGAACTTACACCCTTACAGGTACTGAAGTCTGACCGGCTGCGCTGCCAGCCCTCTGTCATAATTGCAGTCTTTCCCATAGCCCAGTGAAGGCCTCAGGACTTACTACGAAATGATTCTTTGCCCATTCCAGGATAAGTTTTCCTGTGGCTTTCTGCCTTCTGCATGACACTGCTGACTTTGAGTATAGACATCTGAATGCCCTTCCCTCCTCCCAGACTATAGCAGCAGTGGGCCCCTGTTTTGTCTTTATTAGCGGATAAGTTTTTGGTTATTTTTCATAATGGTTAGAGTGGCTTTATCTGCCATACTGCCTGAGATCCACTACTGCCCCCTTCTTTCCTTTCCATGCCTCTCCCTGATTCCATCCACAGTTGCCATCGTTGTTTGACAAGGCCAGTCTTATAAGGGCATTTAAACAGCCCTCACCGTGCACTCAACCCTCTCCTTCCCTTCTCAGGGGACACCGTGTTCATCAGGTTGAGTACTTCCTGTCAGGCACTTGGCCAAAGCATGGGGTTAAAAATCAGAAAAAGCAAGTCTCAGTCACCACTCTACCACTTCTTTGCTGCGTGACTTTGAATCTTCTTATGTAGAAGGTGTATAGTGACTATTTATACCTTATGGCATAATGAGTGCATAAAGGGTGAAACCAAAGGGGACTATGGAATGAAGTAGCGGTTCCAGAAGGCTGAGTGCACTGAGCTAGCATCCAGAGAGCCAAGGTTTTCCTTTATTTAGCTCACAAAAAGCCTGAGAGAAGGTCTTCTTATCATATATAATAAAACCATAATATGCAAATCAACCAAATAGCCCAACAGCAGAGTGACCATCCACACTATGACACCCACTGGCGCCAGGCCAGCCAAAGGCGGGTGTGATGCGATTGGTCAGGGGCCTGGCTACCGCTCCATAATCACCCTGAGGTGGGAGGCACGACTTCACTAATAAAGAAATGCAGTTAAATAAGAGGTTATTTTCTGAGTTTCAAATCGGCCAAATTTAAAAAGATAGAAAAATATGGGAAAATGAACACTACACTCTTGGAGGGCAATCGGGCAAAAACAACACTTAAAATGAGCATGTCCTTTCAGCAATCCTAGTTTCATAGATTTCTATGGCGAAAGAGTAACCTAAGGCATAAAGACATGTACAACCAAGTTCAGAGAAATATTATTTGTAACGGACAAAAACTGGAAAATGCCCAAAAAACAACCCCATCAGCTTATCATTAGAGAATGGATAAGTAAACTATGCTATGTCCATATTAAGAAATTTTACTTAGTCTTAAAAAGAATGGACATTAAACAATAACATGGATGTTCATGATATATAACTGCATAAAAAATAAAGCAAACTGCAGAACAATATGTATAGTATGATCCATTCGTTGTAGAACACAAAAAATGATACAAATGATATATCAGTTTTGTTGTTAGGTAGTTACATGCTTAATAAGTATAAGTTGAGTAGATGATGCCTAATTATTTAATACTAGAGGCCCGGTGCACAAAATTCGTGCAAGGAGCTCAGCCCTCCCAGCTGTGGCAGCTGCCTTGGCTTCATTGGAAGGTCGTTCAGCCGTCCGGTCTAATCAGCATATTATGCTTTTATTATTATACTAGTAGATAATGATTAAGTATCAAATGTGAATAGGCGGCTTACCTCTTTAGGTGATAAATTTTGTGTGTATACTGTCCTTTCTCTCCATCCTGCTCATAAGGTTCATTCTTTAAGACTTCAATTCCTTCTCCACCACCAGTCTCATTCTTACTAGCTTCTGCAACCGAGTACAGCTGCCCAACCTGATACTGAAATTTCAAAGAGTAAAGGAACCTCAGTAAGTCAGTAGTAAATGTGGAAACTTCCTATGCTAAAATCTTACTATAGATGATATAGAAAAGTAAGTCCAAACCATTTAGCACATATGTTCTACAAGAAAATGTGTCTCAAATTAGAAATGAATGTTTTAGGAAGAGGAACTACCAGATGCTCATACAGCTTCAAGAAACTGTAATATTTTACCAGATTTCCATTATTCAAAAAAACTGCTAGTTACAAACACTCTGGTGCTTTACTACGTACTCTGATATCCACTTATCAGAAAAATGCCTTGTGCCTGGCTGGTTGTGGCTCTGAGACTGAGTATCGACCTATGAACCCAGAAGTCATGGTTCAATTTCAGGTCAGCGCATCTGCTCAGGTTACGAGGTTGGTCCCCAGTACGAGGCATGCAGGAGGCAGCTAATCAATAATTTTTTCTCATCGTTGATGTTTCTATCTCCCTTCCTCTCTGAAATCAATAAAAATATATATATTAAAAAAGGAACTCTTTCTTCCTCTGAGTAAAAGTTTTCTTAAAAAAAACAAAAATCTTGATACTTAGTTCGTTTTTGAATAATGTACATTTTCATATCTATGATAGCTCAGTAATCTTACAAAATTTGGAAAAAGGTATGGCACATATATTCTCGAGTCACTAACCATTCCAATAAATGACAAAAAGCAAAGTTCTTTTGTTCTAATTTGTTTCTAAGGACTCAACCATGGCACTATCTCCAATCTCTTCAAATCTGTCTAAATTTCTTCCTCCCAATGAAGACAGCCTGAAAAAAAAAAAATGTGGGTGTTTTTTTTGTTTTGTTTTGTTTTTTGTTTTTATGGGCATGTTTTCAAAGAAACGCTACCTGTAAAAACTAATCGTTCAAAACCAACATTTTATTTGAGGGGCAAAAAATAGGGCCAGCTCTGTAAATATTGCTATCTAAAAAGCCCATAGGGCCCTGGCTGGTGTGGCTCAATTGGTTGAACATCATCATTTACACAAAAAGGTCGCTGGTTCGATTCCCAATCAGGGCATAGACCCAAGTTATAGGTTTGATTCTCAGTCCAGGTGTGTCTCAAGGCAACTGAATAATCTCTCTTTCTCTCTCTCACCCCTCTCACTAAAATCAATAAACATTTTTTTAAAATAAAAAGCCCATAGGAATATGATATCTTGCATGTTAATCCTCATTCTCTCTCCCTTCACTCATCTAGTTCCCCTTTCCCAGTCTCTCTGTCCATGTCTCTGACTCTCTCTCAGGAAGCTAGAACCAAACACATTTTTTTTTATAAATGAATCAAATAAGTTTTTGTAGGGGTTTTAGACTGCAGAAAGGGTTGTATTTCTTCTTTTGTTTTTCATGATACGTCCGTCATCAGTAATGCTAGAGTCAATCCTTAAGCCCTTTAAAATGTACTTCTCATATTTTAAAAATAGGATTAAAATGTCTCTAAGTCAAAAGGCAAATTTGATCTTGGCCAGGAACAGAGTAAACAAAAATTTACACAGAAACAACAACAGTATCCAAAAAAAAAAATGTTCTTAAGGGACTAATGTTGTATGGCCTGCTATTAGGCTGTCATTGTCATTTTAAAGACCAACAAATGAAGGCAATAGATATATTTATTAAGTGTCAGTACAACAAAGAGCTGAGATTATTTTCAGTAACAATACCAAGAAAAATTTCAACATCCAAGTTGATCCAACATCCAAAACCAAGAGAAAAAAGGAAACAAAAACAAATGTCAATTTCCGCATTCAAGTTCAAACAATGAGCTACACGAGCAAAGAACAGGAGTGCCTAGCTTGTTTTGAGTGTTTTTTATACAGGGAAACCTCAGGCACTACTGAAATATATATATACCGTATTTTCCGGCGTATAGTAGCTGTGTTCACATTTACATTCAACGGTGTAGTTAGCTATTGGTTTTTAGTTCCTTCATTTTATTTCTTTTCTTTCTGTCTTTGATCACCTGTCCCTTCTATGGTTATCAGTTTGTTTTGTCCCACTTCCAATTCACTGCTTCGAATTCACTGTCAGCTCTAAGAAAACCAGATAACTGAGCAAGTTACAGCAGGACCCCGAGGGCCTTATGTGTTTTGCTACCCCATCTCTTGATTTCTCTGAAGTCTTTTCTGTTTTTACTACCCTCCTTCTTGGCTATACTACAGATAGATAAAACTCCAAAACATGCAACTTCTGAACAGGGGATGTATTTTTGTATCATGTGCAGATCAAGAGAGACAATAATCTCTCAGTGATGTGCTGGTCAAAACAAGTCTGGAAAACCCTTTTCAGTGGAAAGCAGTAACTGTGACGATGCAGTAGGGAGACCAGCTGGTGAGGAGGGCCAGGGGGTCATGTTGTATCAGGCCAAATGAACATGCTGGACATGTTTAACCTTGTAACCTCGAGAAGATGGAACAAAGGATTGGGGGAGGACAGAGAGCTGCCATCAGAAGACCTGAGGGGTTACCATACGCAAGACAGAACAGGCCTATTTCTTACCGCTCAAAGGGAAGGAACTTCAACAACAGTCAAGTATTATGGGAAAGCAGGTTTTGGTTTAAAATCAAGACAAATGTTTTTAAAAGTCCAACAGTAAAGGAGGCTTCTTCTCTAAGCAGCAAGTGACTTAACCTTAAAGTGTTGAAGTTGAGCAAGATTTTGTAGACAGAATTTCTCTGAGATTTTGTAGACAGAATTTCTGCACTAGACAGCAGGTTAACCTGCATTCTTTGGTCCCTTCCAAAACAAAGTAATATAACAGAAATACATTTACAGTTATCTATGTAACAGCCTGTTTTTTGGTCACAAAAAACTAAAATGTAAAGGTAAATAAATACAACAAAAATATAACCTTTAGATTAATGTACTATATCAATAAAATAATACAAAAGCAAACATGACTTACCTCCTGAACAGAACAGGGCAAAACCACACGGCTAAAAAGACAAAAGGAAGAAGAATATAGGTTACACATAAAATAGTTGACTTTAAAACACGTCTGTATGCTTAAAAGACCTTCTACTGTAGCACGGTACAAGGACATCATTTATGGAAAAGTGTCTTTGCAATGCCTACAGCTCTAAATAAGTGTTTTTTGTTAATCCTTACCTGAGGATATATCTTTTCCATGGACTTTTACAGAGATTAGAAGGGAGGGAGAAAAAAAGAGAGGAAGAGAAAGAAACATAGATATGAGAGACACACGGACTGGTTGCCTCCTGTAAGTGCTGGGAATTGAACCTCCAACCCAGGTGCATGTCCTTGACGGGGAATGGAACCCCAGACCCTTTAGCGAGAAGGCTGGTGTTCTAACCATTAAGTACACCAACCTGGGCTAAATGTGTTTGTGTGTGTTTGTTTTGTTTTTTAATTAATATATTTTATTGATTTTTTTACGGAGAGGAAGGGAGAGGGGTAGAGAGCTAGAAACATCGATGAGAGAGAAACATCGACCAGCTGCCTCCTGCACAACCTCCACCTGGGATGTGCCTGCAACCAATGTATACGCCCTTGACCAGAATCGAACCTGGGACCCTTCAGTCCGCAGACCGACACTCTATCCACTGAGCCAAATTAGTTTCATCTAAGTGTGTTTTTTTAAATTGGGGAAATAAAACTACCATTCCAGGTTATCAGCAATCACTGCATTTAGCATCTAAATTATACCAGGATCCCCCAAAAGCAGTTGCAGAGATTCCTGTGAAGAGTAAAGAACAAGAGAAAACTCATTACCGAAAATTACAGGGTACAGAATGTATTATTTGTACACTGTCTGGCCAGGTTGCTCTCATGAAATTTTTAGTATGGTTTCATTCTCTATTTATATGCTGTGCATTTTTGGATGCTTCTCACAAATAGATGTTCTGAATTTCATGAATGAATTCTTCCCAAAACTGATCCCTACCCAATTACTTCTCAATTTTATTAAGAGAAAAACAAATAAACGGTCCATTAGACTTAATAAGAAAAAAAACTTGCCAAAACTGGTTTGGATCAGTGGATAGAGCGTCGGCCTGCGGACTGAAAGGTCCGGGGTTCGATTCCGGTCAAGGGCATGTACCTTGATTGCGGGCACATCCCCAGTAGAGGGTGTGCAAGAGGCAACTGATGGAAGATTCTCTCTCATCGTTGTTTCTAGCTCTCTATCCCTCTCTCTTTCTCTCTGTAAAAAATCAATAAAATATATATTTAAAAAAAACAATTACTTAAAAAAAAACTTTATGGAAAATGCTTTGAGCCTTATAAATATAACAATTCCTTCCAGGGTAGTCAATGTAGTATTGTAAGGTTATGTGTTTGATCTTGTCCAGCAAAGTTTTTTATTGGACATGCAAAAGGATCAATATAGAGACCCTGGCTCCAAAAAAGAGTACCATGGTAAACTATATTAGAACATTGCATTTTAACTCTAGATTTTTATAATGAAGTACGTTTATGTAGTTCTACCATAAACTCTGAAAACCATCCTGAATATCTCAGAAGAGCTGATGTTCAAAAGATCACCTTTTTGTTGGCCTGGTCCTTCTCTGACTTTCCCTCCAAACTATTAAGCCAGCGCCACAGTGATTGAAAGTCTTATTTTAACTCTTTCTATTATAAGGAGAGAAAAAAATCTCAAGGAATTTTCTTTTCATAGAAAATTCCCAATAGTCTTCCTCATTCCAACCTCTTTTTAGCTGCACTTTCCACCTACTTCTCTCTCCCTATTCTCCGCAAGCATCTATGCTTGAATACTCACATCACCTTAGTCGTCAACAGGTGCAAAACATGTCTCTTGTAATTCCCTCCTCCTTAACAACTGGAGATCACTCATCACTGTCTTTTTTTATAATGGTCATCTGAAGACAATGAACATCCTCAAAGTCACAAAGGTTACTAGTTTCTATCCTCATCAAGAATTCATTTGGTACACAGTCGTCCCATACATATAATTTCAGCTGTATCTTCTGGATACACACTCATTTGCTCACTTCACTGCCTCAGTAACAGAAAATAAACTGGGACAGGAGTGCAGTGGTCGGGGGGAAGACCAGGTTATATGCTGGGAGTGTATTTTGAAAAATATAGGAGGAAACAGACAAAATGGAGGGAAAATATATTATGAGGGCCTGCAATATAATGGTGAGAAATCTATTAAATTTATTAGGCCACAAGGAATGCTGGGAGGTTGTTCAAAAAGGTGAGAGAGAACTACCGCTAACCTGAAGAAGTCATCGGTAGGTGGTTAAAATGTTTGAGAAGCAGGAGTGTGGGGAGAGACATCTTTTGGGAGGCTGGGCAAGGCCTTACAAAGGCCTTGAACCAAGATGGTGGGCTGCAGGGGAAACAAATGGAAGGAAGGAATACAAAGGAAAGAGTTAAAGACTTCCCTGAAGTTTCACAAAGCCAAACAACCCCTGAGTGATTTTAGCAGGAAGATCCATATTTTTATATATCTACACTTCTAGGAAAACTCATTTCACGGAATGAAAAGTGACTGATTAAGACATTCTGAATGAATGATGAGTCAAGTAACCTCTTCAAGATTTACTTACTAAGAAGTATAAGAGAGAAGGGACAGGACTTGATTTTTGATGACTGGTCTAAAAGCAGTACAGATATTCCCCCACATTTTGGGGGGAAAGTTTGCCACTTCACTTTTAGGAAAGACCTATATTAGAACCTATTTTTGCTAACTGAAAGAAATACACAGAGGATTCTCGCTATCACAAATAAAGGAGAAAAGTGAAAATAATATTCAGCATTTGTTTTGTAGAACTGTCACAGAGGCAGGATGCAACTGGGGTGGGGGGGGGGGGCGGTACTGGGGGGTGCATCAAGAGTGGCTCCACCAAGCTCCTTCTCAGGGAACCACACTCAGGATTTCAGCATCAAGCTGCCGCAGCTGTGAACTGTGTCTGCGAGCATCAGTTTTATCTCGATTTATTTTGTGCATCAGTTAGCAAGGTGTATCCTGAGGTGTCAGAAAAGCCTGAGAATCATCCAGGTATCACACTTAGTGTAAAACTGGATGCAATCAAGCATATCTAATGTGATTTTGTAGGTGTTTAGGGGAATATGGGAATGATCAAAGTTTTTTCAGATACAGCTGACCCTTGAACAACATGGGTTTGAACTGTGCAAGTCCACTCATATGCAGATTTTTTCCAATAAACACCTGTACTGTTTCAACCCACAGTTATAAGCAGAGACCCATTGTATGCATTGATCTGCGCCATTTTATATAGGGGACCTAGCATCAGTGAATTTTGGGGATCCTCTGTGGGTACCAAGGGACAACTAAGTTTTAGGGGAGTCACAATTTATGTACATTTTGGGGGGGGGGTTAGTGTCCCTAAGCTTGTGCATTGTTCCAAGAGTTAACTGTATTAATTCATGGTAACTGCTTCTTTGTTTTATGCCATTTCAGCTAATTAAAAGTTTCATAGGAATGCTCTACTTTCGGATAGTGGGGGAACCTGAACAGGCATACCTCATTTTATTCTGCTTCACAGATAATGCCTTTTCCTTTTCTTTTACAAATTGAAGGTTTGTGGAAATCCTGTGTTGAGCAAGTTTACTGGCACCATTTTTCCAATACGTTGAGATGAGGGTTAGCAATTTGTACAAATATTTTTAATTAAGACTTGTACCTTTTTTAAGACATAATACTATTGCACATTTAGCTGACTGCCGTAATACATAACATTTATATTCACTGGGAAACCAAAAAGTTCGTGATTGGCTTTACTACAAAATTCACTTTATTGCACTGGTGTAGAACCAAATCCACAATATCTCTGAGTTATGTCTGTATTTTAGAAATTTTTATACTTCTCTAAAAATTTTCATGAAAATAATTCCCCAAATGGAATAACTAGTTTAAAAAAAAAATTAAGAATTTATTCTAATGGCAAATCCATCTATTTACTTAAGTAACAACTTGAACTTCCCACCCTGAAAAGTTATTTCTAACCTTTTAATTCATGTCAAAAATAGATGGCATTTTTAAAGACAACAAACATTTGCCAAAGCATTTTACAATTTACCAACATCTTCATATAGGAATGATCTGTTCATTGCTCCTAACCAAAAACAATTTTAGAAAGCTGACTTGGGAATACTAAGAATAATTTTTTTTTCATTCAACAACACCGACTACTTAACAGTGTACCAGACTAGATGTTGTGTGGATGCTGGAATACTTAAAAATAAGAAACAGTCTCTATCTTCAAAAAGTCTAGAAGGAAATACATTCTAGGGGAGACATATGTGAGGAGTGAATATCAAGAAATGGTCATTATAAATTGTTAGGAAATATTATACTTTGGGCACATTTTGACATGTGTTACCTCAGTGCATTCAAATTTTTACAATGAAAGTAATGGTTCACAAAAAGCAAAGTGTATAACGTATCAATGGGAAATGTTTTTCATAAGTAAGCTTGACACTCCTCACATAATCGTCAACGGAATCTACTAAGCACTTAATTCACATTTTAGGAGGTAGGAAATAACTCTAATAAAAGAAATATGATTACTCCTGTGATCTAAAATCAGTTCTGCAACTTCCTTGGCTTGAGCCAAGTCAATTTCCTTCTGTCTCATTTCCTCAATCTGTCTTAATATCTGCCACCTATCTACATTACAAAGAGGTCAGAGTAATAAATGAAATAACCCTTGCATGACACACAGTACAAAGAACTTGGAAGAAAACTTTCGTGTAAATCCAAAGCCCAATACTATAAATAAGCTTTGACTGAAATGTGTCTTTTCTCAGGATCCCTGTCACTGGCTAGTTATAATTTTTCATTAATTTATTTAACAAATATTTACTGAGCATGTACTACATGCCCGGGACTAGTCTAAGACCTGGAAATATGGGAGCCAGTAAGACAAATTCATGGAGCTTACATGTGGTAAGAGAATTCATACAGTAAAACAGGAAAACACACACACACACAATAATTGTGTTGCGCCGAAACCGGTTTAGCTCAGTGGATAGAGCGACAGCCTGCGGACTGAAGGGTCCCGGGTTCAATTCTGGGCACGTGCCCAGTAGGGGGCGTGCAGGAGGCAGCTGATTGGTGATTCATAGATATTTCTAACTCTCTATATCTCTCCCTTCCTCTCTGTAAAAAAATCAATAAAATATATTTTAAAAAAATAATAATTGTGTTGCATGGTAGATGGTGATAACTGCTATGGGAGAACAATAGAGCAGGGAAAACAGATACCAAAGGTGGGTGTTACAATTAGATCTTCAGAGACGGATTCCCTAAGAGGTATACAGTATTTAAGAAAAGACCTGAAGGAAGCGGGTGGAGGGATGGGGTAGGGTTAGTGAGATGCAGAATGAACACTTCAAACCAGGGAACAGCAAGCAGAAAGGCCAGAACACCAAGGAAGCACGTGAGGTTGGGATGGGCAGGGGAAGGTTAGTAAATAAAATCAGCACAGAAAAGATAACAGTATAAGACCACCCCACCTCCAGGCTGTATTGTAACGGGTGTGGGCTTTGATTCTCAGTGAGATATGGAAATCTTTTGAGGGTTTTAAGCCGAGAAGCCGGAATGAGTCACTTCGTTTTTAAAGGTAAGTTTCGGAACTAGCACTACAATAAGAATAAGGTGTGTTGGAGATGGTTCAATCCAACTAAAAGTTTTATTATTATTTTTTTTTTAATATAGAACGAAAGGAGCATTTGAAAACCGGAAAAGGGCCCTAACTTGAAATCCCCTCGTTGCCCAAGGGATGATGACGAAACGAAGCAGCTGTGATAGCTGAACAATCACTGCCAACCACATTTCCTGCGATAGTCAGTCCTTGGCGGGTGGGAAACGCCTGACTTTTCAACAAAAGCGCTCGGCTGGATCGAAGGCACCTGGGAACCCTTCTATTTGACAGACCACGTGTTCACGCCTCACTGCAGCCCCGGTGAGGTGGGTGGAGCCTAGAGTGTCACCCCACCTGCAAGATATGGGAACTGAGACTGATGGCCTGGCTGTCAAAGTCAACGCAGCTGCCCGCCCGGGGGGTGGGGGAGCGCAGGCTTTCCCGGCTCCCCTTCAGGAACTTCAGGGCGCCTGGGTCCCACCTGGAGCTCAGACCCCAGTGCTGCCCTCACCCGACAAGCCGCCGATCTCCCGCCGGTGACAGGCAGGCTCCACCCAAGACGACAAATCACAGTCAAACCCACCCCCGTCTCTCCCACCCTCGGTCCCCCACAGCGGGGCCTGGGGCTAGGCGATTGGTGGGAAGACGGGTCCCAGCGGGAAACTCCCGGCCGCGCCTTCCCGAGCCACGCGATCCGATCGGGGACACAGCCTGCCTCGAACCCCGGGAAGAGAGGGCAGCACTGTGGCCGCAGGAACGCCCGGAGGAGGACCCTGGGGAAGCGCCGTGGAGGGGGGCCTCGAGTGGGCCGGGGGGCGCGGGCCGGAGGGGGGGAAGGGGAACGCGAAAGGGAGCGGCCAAACCCCAGCCTCGCTCCTTCTCAGGAGTATTCCGCCACGTCTCCATCAATGAACCTCCCACCACGACACCCCGGCAGCCGCGATCCCGCCCACGGACCCACTCACAATTCCTTAATCAGCACCATCTTCCTGGAACCCCCAGACAGCTGCTGCCGCTACCACCTCCACCGCCGCCGCTGCCGCCGCTCACTGAGCCTGCGCGGCCCCGCCTCCCTGCTCAGGACGCATGCGCGCCCACGCCCTTCCGCCGCGAGCCGTCGCGTCAGCGCGGGAGACCGGCTAGCCCCGCCCCTTGTTCTGCGCCCCACCCTGCGCGCACGAGGCCTCCACTGCGGCTGCGCGGGCGGTGGGCGGGGCGGGCGGCTGCTACTGCGGCTGCGCAAGCTCCCGCGCGGGCGGCGGCCTCTCTCTCGTCACCGCCCCAACGCTCCGCCTCCTTCCAAGTCAACTTCCCTCGGGGGCGGCTGCTTTCCGGTGAGTGTACACCAGCTGGCTCCCGGGAAGCCGTTTTCTGCTGACTTAAAAGTACGAAACTCCCTCACCGTTTTGTTTTTTTTTTGTGAGAGGAAGTCCGCCTTTTTGACAGACACTTTTCTTTGGAAGTCCACGTGAGGGACTTGTGACGGGGGCGCGAGGCCGTCGCCGCCGTCGCCGCGGCGTTCCGCTCCCCTCAGCGGCCCCGTCAGATTCCGCGGGAAGAGGTTCCCCAGGCTCCGGGCTCGCGGGCATGTGTTCCAGAAGCCTCGTGAGTGCCGGCGTCCGACCGTGCCTCAGCGTGCGAGGGCCCGCGGCTGCGGCCACACGCGGTCCCCGACGCCCCTGACCTGGAACCCAGAACCCCACCGCTGCTGGGACTCCGCAGGAGGTGCTTCCAACCAAGTTCCCCCCGTTCCCCTCATGGGGAAAAGAGGTGCTCGGCCTTCAGACCCGGGAACGGGGCCTGTGCTGGGAAGACGCTAGAGAAGTCCCAGTGAATGCCCCCCACTTCCGTCCCCCCTAAACCCTCTCCCCCCCCCCCACACACACACACAGGCTCCAGCCTGAAGAGCCCAGAGGTGGACCTTAGGATGAGCTGTAGCCCAGGGGTCACGCTCCTACTCTATACTCTGTGCCAGGGCAGTTCTAGGCGCCGGGGAAACTTCTGGAAACGAAATAGACACAGTTCCCGTTCTCACTTAGGAACGAGAGAAAGGGGCGCAAGTGCTGTTCCGTGAATAAAATCAGAGGGATGGCGGAGGCAGAGCAGTCGAGGGGAGGACACTCGCGAGGCCGCTCTGGAGCTTCGTGCTCGTCCACAGCCCGGCCTGTGAAGACGGGGGGAGGCGGTCCCTTCCGAGGAAAGGAAGCCCGAGGGTGGAATAAGCCTCCGGCATTTGAGGCGCAGATAGAGGTCAGGTGTGGCTGGAACTTCTGAGGGAGGGGAAGGAGGTGGGGGCTGGGACTAAACGGGTCAGCGGGCCACTGTAAAGAGTTTGAATCGTCTTCTAAGAATCAGGGGAAGCCGTTGAAAGATATTAAAATAATAAAAATGTCATGAAGACACTGCTACAGAAACCTGTATGTTGTATCTGATCCTGGGGTACACCTATGGAATTAGGGCTGCCTCAAAATAAAAGAAGAAATAGTGGAATGTTTACCAAAAAAAAGCTCGGAACATCCTCCTAAGGCAGCCCCTGGACTCGCTGAGTTTCTGTGATGTGCGGAGCACTGTGCTGAGTTACTGGCAAGGTTTCCTGGAAACACGTGCTTGCTTTCAAGGAACTTAGAAACGAAAAGCTTCAACTGATTGGGCACCTGTTACCTGCCACGTACTGTTCTAGGTAATGGAGGTATTCTTATCTCATTTCACCCTTAGGGCATCATTATGAGATAGGTATTTTATTTATTTTTTATTTTTTTTAATATATTGATTTTTGTACAGAGAGGAAGGGAGAGAGATAGAGAGCTAGAAACATCTATGAGAGACAGTCATTGATCAGCTGCCTCCTGCACACCCCCTACTGGGGATAAGCCCACCACCAAGGTACATGCCCTTCCTTGACCGGAATCGAACCCGGGACCCTTCAGTCCCCAAGCCGACGCTCTATCCATTGAGCCACACTGGTTTCAGCATGAGATAGGTATTTTAGCATGCTTCAAGAAGGGGGATAGAGGGCAAGGGGTTCAGAAAGCCAAGTTAAGTGACTTGTGCAAAAATCACTCAGCTAGCTTGTTTATAGAAGCGGGTTTCATCTCCAAATTTTAAAAACACCAGTGTCTTGGTCTTTCCACTGCCCTGACTTTTTTCTAGATAAAAGTAAAAAGTCGAGGCATGCAGACATGCAATCATTTGTGCACGAGTGGGGTCCCTCAGCCTGGCCGTGCCTGGATTCCTCCAGGTTGTGTCTAAAGAAACAATTTGGAAATTGGGGAGCCAGGCAGAAGCCCAGTGCAAGAGGGAGGAGTCTGCATGTGCTCAGGCCTTGCTATCCTTTTATTCAGTTTGGGATACACCTAAAGGCCTTAGGCAATTTCTGCTAACAGGCTGTCTTATCAGTAGGATTTACATGACTATCTGGTCTTGAAGTTGCTTTAGATACCATGACTAAGTAGTGGGTGCATAGCTCTGACCTTTGCCTGGGCTCAAGGGTCACCAGCATTCCGGGCTCCTTGCCCACACCTCTCTGCCAGTGAAGGCGGTAGGTGGCTCCCCACATGAGGTGATAGCCATTGTGGTTTGGATGTGCATTTCCCTAATGATTAGGGATGCTGAGCACCTTTCCATGTACCTGTTGGTCATCTGTATGCATCTTCGGGAATATGTCTGTTCAGGTCCTCTGCCCATTTTTAATCAGATTGTTTCTCTCTCTCTCTTTTTTTTTTTTTTTCCTACTGAGTTGTATGAGTTCTTTATATATTTTGGAAATTGATCCTCTATCAGATATGATTTGCAAATATTTTCTCCATTCAGTAGGTTGTTTTATGATAGTTTTCTGTGCAGAAGCTTTTTAGTTTGAGTAGTCCTACTTGTTCTTGTTTTTGATGCCTTTGCTTTTGGGGTCAAACAAAAAGAAAAAAAATAATTGCCAAAACCAGTGTAGGGGCTTATCTATATTTTTCCATACTATTTACCCATCTGTATTTTTTATATTTATCCATTTCATAATTGGGTTATTTTTGTCTTGAGTTGTAAGATTTTAAAGTATATTCTGGATATGAGTTTATTGATACACATATGATTTAATGTATTGTTTATTTAATGGTGTTCTTGTTATTGTTGTTAATCCTCACCCAAGGATTTTTTTCCCATTGATTTTTCTAGAGTAGAAAAGGAGGGAGAGAAGGTACTGAAATATGGTAGCAACCATACTTGGGTAAAAACTGCTGTTTGAATTTTAACCCTGCCATTGCTTAAACATAGGGTAGTTGCCTCAGCTTCCAAATTGAGACCTGGAGGCTAAGGCAATTTTACCAGAAATACAGGAGATTGATTCCCACTGACTCAGTAGCTTCAGGGGTAGAAACTGTAGATAACCTTTAGAGATAACCTTTAGAGATTAACCTCTGAGTTCTGCTTTGGTATTATCGGCTATCACAAGATAGGGCTAGATAGGGTACTTTCCTAAGTTCCCAGCCTTTAGAATTTAGAACAAAGGAAAATTCCTGTGGTTTGAACCTTTCAAAGGACTGCCTACACCTGGAATGGTGGTCCTGTGGACTCCACCTGTGTGTGGTGCTCTCGAGGCTGAGGCCGTGCTGGCCAGTTTTTCAATAAATCCTTGCCTGCTTTTTTTAATCAATCATCAGCCTCCGGTGGTCTTATTTTGAACCCAGGCTTCAACCCCACAACACAACAACAACAAAAAAACACATTTTGATGAAATTCAATGTCAGTTTTTTTAAATCTTATGCTTTTTGTATCCTAGCTATGAAGTATTTTTTTTACTCCCAAGTTGCAAAGATTTTTCTCATACATTTTGTTCTTAGAAGTTTTTTACTTTTTACTGTTTTAATTAGTTTTTCGGTTCCTTTAGAAAGAGTTTGACAATTTCTACAAAATCAAGCCTTGCTGGGCTTTTGGATGGATTTGGATTGAATTAATCAATTTGGGGAGAATTGACAATTTAATGATAATGTTTTGAATCCATGAAAATTCAGTTCTTTTTCTTTACTATCTCTTGACAGTGTTTTATATTTTTCAGTGTAGAGATCTGAAACATAAAATGCTTAGAAATATGTTTTTGTTAAATGTATTTCTAAGCATTTTATGTTTTTGGATGCTCTTGTTATTTTTAAAATTTCAGTTTTTAATTGTTAATCCAGTAAAACCTCCATATAATGAATTAATTTAGGTCAGGGGGTATCTGTTAAAGTTGAAAGTCCATTATATAATAAAGTAGATTTTCCAAATGTGTATGTTGAAAAATTGACAAATTAGTTTACCTGTTTTTACTTAATGTAGACATGTTTGTGTAAATAAAATTAAGTATGTATGAAAAGTTTAATTTCACAGAAAAATTTTCTCTGTGTATTGCTATAATTTTAAATTTATGCTGGATAGGTCCAGTAAATAAATGCATTTCCCAGACACTGTGAATAAACAAATGCCTATGGCTGGGATGTGGCTTAGTGCACCTGGGAACATCGGCCGGCACGTGTTAAAACTGCTGCAGAAAGGCATGCCACGTGTTGAGAGAGATGTGGTGTGATCACATGCTAATCATTCCCTGAACATTATTTATAAGCATTGATTCTTGGATTTAAATATGTAGACTATAGTTATAGATACAATATTGGTTTTTCCAACATATGGCCTATTCACTAAAATTTGTTAAAAATAACTGAATTAATAACAACAACAAAAACCCTGTTAATTTAGTTATAAGCAAATCTTGGTTAAAAGCATTTTAAAATGAACACAATGTTAATTTTCACATATGACATATAGACTGGAAATTTTGTCCATTAAATCTGAAATTTGTTAAATCGAGGTCTGTGGTCCACAAAATCAAGGGTTTCCTGTGTGTGGGCACACATTATGATTGCTGCATCTTCCTGGTGAATTGAAGGCGTTATAATTATGAAATGTTTTTCTTTATCTCTAGTTATTTCTTGAAGTCTACATTGTTTGATTTTAATATAACCAATTCATTAATCTTATTCATACTCATTTTTTAATGGCACGTCTTTCCATCCATTTATATTCTGCCTATTTTATATCTATTTAAAGTGTATTTCTCATAGAGAGC